TTCTGGGTCCTGGCACCCACTAGGCCCAGCCAGCAGCCCCCTCGAAACCCAGCACACACATTTCTAGCCTATGTGAGAGGCCTGGGGATTAGCGTAGATACTGGGACCATCTCGTTTGGCCCAGAGTCCCTCATCTATTCAGTGTATGACAGTACTACAGAGCCCACAGGAGCCTGGGGTGTGAACCTGTCCTCACTTGGCCCCTCCCCCTCCCTGGGTTGACCCAGCTGGGCCAAGACCTTCCTGAACCTCATGCTCTGACCTAGGATGGGTCGACTGAGACATCTCTGGGAGTGCTGTTAGATGCCAGTCCATGAGTATCTCTATTGCCTTTACATCAAAATAAAGCTGGAATTCATCCACTTCTTAGCACTTTCACCACTTTCTGTGGCCCAGACCTCCCTCTTCTTCGGGTTGGTGCAGTGGCGTCTAACTCTCTTCCTTTTCCTGCCTTTGCCCCCTATACTATGCTCTCAAAATGACCAGATGACCCTTTACAATGTACACTGATGAATTATTTCTCTACTCCAAGCCCTCAGGTGACGCCCCACCCACGCCTCACCTCACTAGGAGCAGAAGCTCATGACTCGCCTGACGAGGTCCCTCCCAGGGTGCCCATTCTCTGTACTGGCCACACATACCCTGGCTGTCTCCCCAGCGCAGCAGGGCCTTTACCTCTAGCCATTCCCCTGCCTGGGACTCTTCCAGCTAGATCTCTGCAAGGCTTCTTCCTCCTCCTTCAGAGCTCTGCTCAGACGTGGGCTTGTCAGTGAGGGTGCCCACAGCCACCTTCCTGAAAGAGCATCCCACACCACCAGCACCAGCACCAGCAGCAACACCACCACCACCACCACCACCACCATCACCAGCACCATCACGAACACCAGCACCACCACCAGCACCAGCACCAGCACCAGCACCAACACCAGCACCACCACCAGCACCAGCACCAGCAGCACCAGCACCAGCACCAGCAGCACCAGCACCATCACCAGCACACCAGCACCAGCACCAGCCCCACCACCAGCCCCAGCACCAG